TCTAGCAACCCAGAGATTCTGGCTGAGTCTTTTGATATCATTCCATTTGGCCATCACGTTGTCTGTAGCTGTTAAACCTCCAGAAAATTATAGAATCATGGAGCCATAGAATGGTTTGGGTTGGAAGGGACCTCAAAGATCATCTAGTTCCAAACCCCCTGCCATGGGCAGGGACACCTTTCACCAGATTGGGTTGCTTAAAGCCTCATCCAGCCTGGCCTTGAACACTTCCAGGGATGGGGCATCGACTGCCTCTCTGGGCAACCTGTTCCTGTGCCTCACCACCCTCACAGTGAAGAATTCCTTCCTTAGATCTAATCTAAATCTGCCCTCTTTCAGTTTAAAGCCATGGCCCCTTGTGCTATCACTACATACCCTTGGAAAAAGTCTCTCTCCAGCTTTCTTGTAGGTCCCCTTTAGGTACTGGAAGGCTGCTAGAAGGTCTCCTTGGAGCCTTCTTCAGGCTGAACAGCCCCAAGTCTCTCAGCCTGTCTTCATAGCAGAGGTGCTCCAGCCCTCGGATCATCTTTGTGGCCCTCCTCTGGACTCGCTCCAGCAGCACCATGTCCTTCTTGTGTTGGGGCCCCAGAGCTGAACTTGGTAAATCTGCAGCATCACACTGATTCCTTTACTGCTTAGTGTAAGTCTGGGATCAAAGACAGCTGCTTCCAGAGATGGTGCTGCAGCTTTGAGAAGCATTAGTAACAAAAGGTGGTGTGTTACATCTGAGGGGAACCCTTGGCTGACCTGCTGCCACTTGATGAGTTTAAATCAGCGTTCGAGTTTCACTGAACTGCATAGCAGCCTTTTATGTGTATGTATGGCAATGTATTAAAAAAACAGAAAATTTTCACAGACAGATGGTGTATTGCAAGTTTTCATAAAAAGAGTTTAAAGAGCTGGGGGTACTATTAAAAGATGTGTGGCCTTTACTATAATGTGCAGAGCACACGTTAATTGGGATTTCAGTGTTAAGAGCTACATTTTAGTAACACCAACCACAGCTGAAAGCAGTCTTCATGGAGGTTGTCGTTAATGTGGCTGAATAGCCTCTTTAAGTTTAAATTTATGATTTCCAGTGAAAGGAAAATACAACAGGAGAAAGTTTTGGAAGTCTGATTGAAATTGATTTTTATCCGTCTGTGTACAGGATCCTGGCTTCTAACAAAACATGGTTATTCAGTGTTTATTCATTAATGTTGTAGGAATTCCATAAGTTTTTCTTTATTCTTTTTTCATGTTTCTGGCTAGTTTTTTGTGTTTTCTACTTCTGTTTCAGGTTTATTTAAGGTAGATTTTCTTTTGATAGTTTTGTCAAGACAGCAGAACCAAATAGGGAGGGCATTTTGCCAAATAAGCAGATAGTCCTCTGGCCAACTCTTGCCTCAATTTGACATGGTTAATCTCATTTTTGATGGATTCTAAAGCTGTTTGTGCTGCCTATACCATCTTTTTCACCTCCTCTGTATTTGCCTGCTCACAATTTGCATCTCCCTCTGGGAATCTGTCAGTCCATTAATCACAGAGGTGTCCTCTCAGAAATGCTGGCTTTCCTGACCTGGTTTCATGGCAAATCTTCAGGCAGCTCCAGTCCTTGAGCTCCTGATAGACTGTAGTGGAAGGGGAAAAGCAAGCTGGCACTTAGACCTTTTGAGTAGAAGAGGTGAAAGGAAGTTCCTTTGTCAGAAAACATCAAAGCAGATTTAAGTCATTGCCCTTTGAAGGGAACTTTGACGAGTTAGGTGGGCACTGTCAATAGGCTGCTGTTTATTTTCCCTAACATGATAGAGCTTCAGTAGCTCAGGTGTTCAAAAAATTACTATACACAGTATTCTGTAGATATAATTCTTCTGAATGTCTCTCAAAGAGCTCAATATGTTCTTAATAAGGTCCAAGTCTAGCAAAGAGTTTATGCCAAAAGCCAATCTGTCCACTCGTTAGCCGGTATATTAAATGCAGCTCCAAACAGCAGCAGACTTTCAGTCTCGTTCCTCAAAATGGAATTATCAAAATCAAAATAATCCGATTTACATAAAAGAAGCTAAATTTGGTCTTGCTGCTTGATTTTTTTTCCATGTGCTTTCTGTCATCTCCACAGGAAAAATTGCTGACATTTTAAAAAGGACTTTGATGTATAGAGCTTCAATAATCTTCAAGATTTTGATAAAGGATATTTTGCTCATCTCCTTAGTAGTGTCTTCAGCTAATTGTGGTAATAAGGGAGCAGAGCTGTTCATGAGGAGCGTGAAGAGCTGACAGTGTGCTTTGGTGTCTAGGTTTGAGAACTTCCCATCTAAGGACTAAATAATATGACCTAGATCATCAGCTAAGGGCTAAGTTGTCGCTGACAAGTGGAAATGCATCTGTCACCCTTGAAGGGCAAATACACCCATGGCAGGGGTTAAAAAGGGTATGAATCATGTTAACATCGAAATTATTCTCTTTCTCTGAACTTATATTAGAAATGTCTATTTTAAGTCTGTGGAGCGCATTGCAGGTTACGCTGAGAAAGCCCAGGATCCGCAGTGTGTGCCCTTCATTCATAGATGCTGGATGGTGGCCAGATAATGTATTGCTGTAAGGGATTGTGTGCTTCAAACTTTGTTGGACAAGTCTTAAACAGAGTAGAAGAATTCAACATTTCACTCGTCCAAATCCAGCAACCCATAGAGGATGAGCTGTTTAATTTCTTGCCTTTAAGAGCTGGAGATAAATCCTGTGATTTGGAAGACCAGATTCATACTCCCATTGCCTGATTGGCCACTTACTCTGCACTTCTGAAAACCTTACTGAGCCAGTCCCAGATACCTTCTCTTTTGATGAATTTGCTTTGGGAAAACATCCCATTTCAGATATCTTTCTTTTTTACTCTGTGATGCATGGCTAATACGTATCTTAGACTAACTAGAGTATGATCCATCATAGAGACAGCCTGTAGTTGACTATAAATACGAAGGAAAAAGATTATCTTCTTTCTTCTTTTGTTGATATGATTGCAGTTCATCACCAGGACTGAAACTGCGAGCAAGAGGTTCAGCCAGGGAAAGGAAGAAAGGAATGACAAGTATGTGAAAGAGAATAAAACCAGATAGACAATCCTGTTCAGTTTGAGTTCAGAAAGAATGATGCTCTTCTCAGACAGACCCTTTAGCAGAAGTATTTATCAGTGTGATTTTGGGTTTGAAACAGTAGAGAGTAAAAATAAGATGAGTTCTCATCTCCCAGAGAAATTAAACAAAGCTTTACAGCATTCAGCCTGTAAATAAAAGAGAAAATAACCCATCTAGTAATACACCATCACTAACTTAGTATCTTCAGGGCGTTTCTCTAGCTTTTCTTCTAGATGTAAATTAATACAATTTATTTGTCTCTCTCCTTCAAATCCTCATCTCTGAAATGCAGCTACTATTTTTAGGTCTCTCTTCTGTTTTTCTCTTATATGAAAGCCTGTCATTAACTTGTTTACCCATGAAATAATCTTTGTTTCAGAGCACAATCATATTCCTTCTTTTCAGAACCCTCAAATAGGATTATTCTGTCCATTTTCCTGCAACGCTTGCCATCATACCCAGTATTTAATGAGGCTCAGCATTTTAAGACAGCCTCGTAGGTTTTTTTCCAGTTAATACGACATACTTCAAAATACTCTCTAAACCTTGTGAAGTATTTGGTGAACATATGCATAGCTCTGTTGCCTACAAGCAGATATGATCCCAATCAGGAGATGCCCATTAGACTGAGGTCTTGCCAATACAGGATTTCCTGCGAGTGCCATGAAAACACCCTTTTTATCATCTTGAACTTATCATCCTGTTAAACTAAATTTAATTTGTATCAGTCGGTGGAGATTTAGATTCTTATTCAAAAGTTATTAAATATTAAGAAGTACTGTAAACACTAAACATATGCAGAGTGGGGGGGAAGAAGGTTCATATGAGAGTGAAATGCATAAACTGCAGTATTTATTTGTGTCAGTTTTGAAGCTATTTGATCTCTATACAGAATCTGTCATCCCACGGTGATGCTATTTGCTGGTCCTTTTTCAGTATTTGTACCAGACTGAAAAATCTTACCTTTTAGGAAGCTTGGGCTTTCAACTTATACTGGCCCTATTCAAAGGACTGAATTCAGTCATGGAGGGCTTCTTTTCATCTGTCTCTGCCTTTATAAACGTCCTCTTGAGGCCAAGGACCAAGCAGTTTTCTTAGCTTGAAAAGCACTGACTGAGTGTGTTTCTTGGAAATGCTGCAGCCTAATAGAAACTAGCAGAGTTGCAAAGTAACCTGAAATGGTTTCTCACGTGCTTGTGCTACCAATGAAGCTGAGGTTCATGCTATTATTAGCTGACAAAGATGGTTGAATATTTCATTTCTTCACAGAAATGTTATGTAGTCATGTCTATATTGGATATAAACCTGAAAAGACGATTAAAAAGTAAATAAAAATGAAATCTATCTCCTAATTTAATTAATGCATGGCCTTTTGGACGCAAAGAAGAAGACGAAGGGAATGACCAAAATTCCAATTTCCATAGTGTTTAAGACAGTTAATTCCAGGCAGTCTTCTCAATTCTTTAGGAAAACCTAAGCTCTCATTTTGAGCTTTATCTAAAATCCATTAAAATCATAGAAAATCCCTCTGCTGAGGCCAGTAGCCTTTGGACAGATTGTGTTATGAGCAAAACAGTTTATGTACACTGAGCTTAGAAGACAAAATAGCTGAAAATAGGAATGCGCAGCCATCAGCTGCACAGCTTTTAGTCTGTACCATACCAACACAGAGCTCAAAGGCTTTGAAGGATTTACAGTAGTGATTTTCTTTTATTCAGGGTTAATAGTTTTAGGTATTTTAATGAATAACTAACTGCATTCTTTAAAACATTTGAAATGTTCAAAATAATACAAGTTTTCAAAATTGAAGTATTTGTGAAGATGTCCACCTCTTTTAGGTTAAGTATTAGCAAAAGATTTTTAACTATTTTCTAATGTATTTACCTGCAGGATCCCAAACTGCGTGAACTGTTGGATGCTGGGAACCTAGGAGGTCGACTGGAAAATCGGATGATAACTGTTGTCTATGGTCCAGACCTGGTTAATATATCATACCTGAACTTGGTGGCATTCCAAGAGGATATAGCAAAGGTAATATATCTGTGTCATATTAAATTAATGTTTTTAAAGTATTGTTTCGTGATACGGATAAATGAGATAAAAGTGGAGATTGACTGTGAAAACGATGGTACACACAAATTTTCTCTCAGCTGTGAGTAGCATATTGTGACTCTCCAAACATGTATCAATATCTTTCAGTAGTTGTCACCCTTTTATGCTTGTTCTAAGTGTGTGAGAATTATGGATCATCTGTGAGACCAAGGTTTGTAAATGGCTGACTTTTTAAGGTTATCCTATATCAGAGTAGTGGGAATCTACAGCTCTACCTTGTTTGGTCAAGTATGTCAGCAATCAGAAACCTAATTTAACTTATGTGACTGTTTCTGCTCATGCTCAAAGGTTAATTTTAAGCATTTCATTTTGTCTGCTGATAACCCTTGATAAGAATTGCGAAGTCAACGTCATTACCGTAAAGTATGTGAGGAAAAAAAAAGTATTTTTTCCATGCAGGTATACAGTCCCTTCATTTCTGTCCAACACACCACATGAAACAGTTGTGCATGACAAGCAAGTTATGGTTGAATTTAGTGCACGTTTATTTTTTTCCTTCTCCCACCTTCTGTATGACACACTTGCGTCTAGTGAAACAGGAGCTCTTTGATTTACCTATCCCCTATTGACATTCAGAAGCTGCTCCTCTTTTCCACTTCCATTCATGTAGACAGACTGATGACAGCCTCCAGATAACCACACAGAGAACACACTTTCATGTGGTTTGCATCCTGGAGTCCACTAGATTGAGCTAAAAAGATAATTTCTCCTTAGACTGCTGTTATTTAACAACAGTAAGGAGGTATTTTGTCACCTCACAGACAACAAGAGTACTAAGTCTAGGTTGAAAAAAGGCCATAGAATGAAAACCTTAACTTAGGAGGATATGTTTTTACTTGCCAGGTTTCATTAGCCAATTGGTCTATTTGGCAAAAACACAATTTCCAGTTTCTTTGACATGAAAGAGTAGAAACCCAATGAGTTTGTGGTGGTCCACGGACTGCTGAATGGGAAGTGCTGTCCTCAGACTTGAAAATGCAGAGCTATAGTCCACAGGTGTGGTTAAGAAATCTTAACACTGCAGAAGTGAAAGCAATTGAAACAACTCTTCAGGAAAAAACTAAGCATATGATGGCGAATGAAAAGGTACGCTAAAGCTTTAACAGCAAAAATTGTTAGCCCTGAACGAGGAAGATGGAAAATCACCTAAATCAGAAGCATATGTCCTTTTTCTCTTGCCTGTCTAGCCAGCAATCAGTGAACCGTAATCTGTTTGCTAGAACAGTGCAGAAATTGGTATTTTAGGGCCATTTTCTGTTTGGTAATGGAATCTTAAAAATGCTGTAGATAAAATCATGTTTTAGAAAAGCTTGGTTGCTCTAAATCCTGAGTAACTCCTACGAACCGAGTGACTAAGACTCTAAGTCTTCCTTGTTATTTGTAAATGTGGTAGACCAAATAAATTCACATTTTATCAATCAGGTGCTGTAGCCTGGGGATGGGATTTTCACAGCATTGCAGATTAGCTGTGCTTGCCCTGAAATCATGCTCAATATCCTGATTGTTTCAATGAGAGCAGAGTTTGATCGCTGTTGAATGCATCTAAAAATTCTTCCTTTCTTAATGTGTTTTCTGACTTTATATGAGCCAGACCACAGAATCTGGTCCTTGTCATCTCCAGGACCCATGCAGTGACTGAAAAGAGTAGTTATAAATAAGCACATCAGGCATAAATAATCTCTTCAAGAAGCTCTGAGAAGGCGTGGAAATACAAGAAGTTTTCGGCATCACACGTGCGAATTTTGACCCTTCTTCTTGCTGACATTCCAGGGAAAGCAAGTGCCAATGAAAAACTCCCCCACCTTTTTTCCCTTTTCAGAGCATGACTATTTTTCAGATTAACGCTTCATTTGTGATACCTTATTTTTCAAGATGTGACAAGTATCTATTAGTCCTCCCTTAGAGGAGGAAGGCAAAGTGAACTGTAAAGGTCTTAGTGAGGCAGTTAAAATTATTCAATTATGGGATTTGCTTCCTTTGCAAAGGGCTTCCTGTTCTGCTACAGACTGTTCATCACATCCACTGGCCTAGCTGTGAGAAAGTTATGAAAATATGAGCCTTGGGCTATTCAGCTTGCTTTAAGTGAACTCGATATGGAGCTAGAAATGATGACATCGTGGTGATGGACGTGTTTCATACAGGAGAAAGTAACTAATGGTTGAAGTGTATTAATGATGAGCTGAAGGGCACTGAGCAGCTGGTTTGTTCTAAGAATGCAGCCTGGGATTCATTAGATAATGGTCTAAAAGGCAGATTGCTGGGCACGTCTTGATGATGAAGAGATGTATCAGTGATACAGCGCGTGCTTATTTTCAGCCTGTCCTGTCTTGGGATAGAAGTTTTGAACATCCACAAACGTAGCACTGCAGAAGCCAGGATAAAGAAAGAAGTTTCTTCTCAAACCCTATTCTAAGCAGATGCTCTTTTTCTCTGTCTCCATTCCTAAGATGAAGAAGTCCAACCTATGAACCTCTGTGTCTCCTGTCCAGCATTCCATTCTCTTCCCAAATCCAGTAACTTCAAAAGTGAACATCCCATTTTTCTCATGTCCTTCCCCTCGCTCTCTTTTGTGCATCTCATGCCAATTCTGTTCTTGCCACACTAGTCCATCCTGGCCATACAGACCCCTATCCAGAGCCCAAGGAATTTTGTTTCTTCTCAGTTTGATGAGCTTTGGGTCAGATCCATCACTAGGAGCTGAGGAATTCCTCTGTAAGTAAAACGATGGAGTCAAAGATGATTCACAAGTTGTGATACACTATGCTTTCCAGCATACGTCTTTATTTTTCCAGCTTCTTAGGCATATTTAAGAGCTTGATCAGTATAATAAAATGGTAAAACAAAGCATATAAATTCACGTCCGTTTGATGTATTATTAAAAATAAAATTCATAAGAATGCCGAAAGTGTCGAATTTCAGCAGCTTGCTTTGTTAACCTCCCGCCGAAAACAAATGCGTGAGAAACATTGCCTTCACGTGTAGTCAGTTCTCATTTGAAGGAAGCGCTTTCATGAGTGTGTGCTGTCTTGTCTTATGAAAAAAGTCTCATCTCTTCTGTTGAGATAGATGTCTTACGGTATGTATCCTGATGCATGTGATAGAGGAGAGAAATGACTTCACTGAGCAACAGATTTCCAAATGAACTGCAGCTTATATGCTACCTGCCAAAGCACAGAACAGCTGAATAATTGGTTAGTAATGTTCACAGGAATGTTTTAAATATGAATTAGTGTAACAGGACGGAGCCAAGAGGAGATCGAGTTCAGGGAGCTCTTATCTGATGGATGTGACTTGCTCGGAGTTGAATGTCGGAAGGCTGGGTTCTTCCACTACCACATGGGATCAGAGGCTTCCAGTCTGCAGTTTGTTGGCACTAGTACAGTCCTATTTCAAAATACCCAGATTTATATTTTCCTTTTGTATTGCATCTGTACCGGAGTCTGCAGCTACCGCGGTGATTCAGAGGCTGTTGTAACCTTTTTGCAATAGGCTGTTTTCTTTCTACACAGAACAGCTTTCTACCCTGCGGAGGGCTCTCACCGAGCGCTGCCTTCTGGAATCGCTGTTGCTGGTAAAGATGGCTGCAGAGTGCATCATGCACGGAGTTAGAGGATGGGCTTTACTCCGTACCATGCAGCAAAACCAAGGAAACGGAGCCATTTGGTAGCTAAAGCGGCGAGACGCTTCTCGGCTCACAGCTTGATGCGAGCCCATCAAATCTGTCCAAAGCATCTCCTTTATTTCTTCGGGTCTGTGCTCAGGGCTGTTGTTTCCCCTCCTGCTGAGGGTTCAGACCAGCGACTGGGAAGATGATGTGATCCTTGGCATATTTTCTGGTCTTGGTTCACAGATCTTCTCTGTGGTGGCCAGAATGAAGGCTCTAAAATGGGAGAGGTAATGAGCAGGTATGGCTAGTGACCTGTTGACTTGGCACCTGCGTTGTTAGAAATGACTCAGCCTGCAGGTAGCCCTTAGAATATTTGGCAAGAGAGATGTGGTCGCTTGAAGAGCCGGGAAGGGCTAGCAAAGGAACGTGACAAGGCTGTTTATATAAATAATGCTTGTGACAGGCGCATAATAGCTTAGTTCCCCTTACATTCCTGTCAACAAGCACTTGGACAAAGAGAAGGAAGCGCTGTGGTTTGGGATACTCCTGAAGTGCCCCGCTTCTGTTTTCTACAAAACACTTCAGTTTTAAGCCCAGCAGAATCAGTGAGATCTAAACAAAGTCTATCAAGATCTGTTAAAAGCCAACCTGTTTGCAATTTCTAAATAATATTTTATGTTGCCATTAATCTTTGCAGCCGTTAGTGTCACAGGGAGAAGTTCTGACTGCTATTATTAGTGCCTAAACAAAGCAGTGTTTACAAGATGAGCCTATTTTGAGCCTGGAAAAATGAGTTGCCAAGAAGGAAAAAAAAAAAGACTGCACTTAATACGCTTTCTGCTCCAAGAGTCACAGCAAAGCAGTGGTGTTGCTAACAAACCTGACTCCTTCTTTTATTCTTTCTCACACTCCTGGTTTTTTTCAAATTAGACGTAAGAAGGAAAAACAAGTAAAGAAAAAAAAAAAAAAGGAAGGGGTCACGAGAAGGGGAGGGGAGGGATATCTCAGCAACAGCGGTTTGCCTCCAGAACAACAAGGCTGTGTCTGAGGGAGGAAGGTTTCTCTGCCAGAAATACCAGTCACGGGGAGGTGTGTTGGCTCAGCTGCTTAGGAGTGAGGTTGTAAACGTGGTGGACGTAAGGATCTGGCAGCTGAAGGGGTATCAAAGGCTCATATAACAGTAGGCTTATAGGTAGCCTTAGCTCTTCCTAGTTGGGAGCAACTGTGTGAGACCAGTTGCAGGAACAAGATCTGATAACCTTAGGGAACAAATCTTAGCACATTAAAAAGACAGAAAAAAATTACACCTTCTGAACCTCATAGATTGATCACCTAGTCACATGGAAACTGAAGGCTTTTTAGGTAAAACAAGCTTGTAAGCTCCAAAGTGACATAACAATATTTGTTTCATTGGAAGTCAATGATACTTTTCATCAGTATCAATTTTTGTCAGAATGAAATCAGCTTTTATTGAGGAAAAATACCAAAAAAAACCCACAAAACACCAAGGAAGAGGAGAGGGAATACCTCCCAAAGAGTATGCATCCAAGAGGGTGCACAGCGATGGAAGTTTTGGATCTGGACTGATATGAAAGGAAACTCAATTTTAGTTTCAAAGAAAACTCAGAAAACTACAAGTTAAAAAAAAATCCCATTGTTTTCAGAGGCATTGTTTATTTTCATTCCTTTCTTTTAAAGAGTGAAACAAAGCCAATGCAAAACCACAGTCGTGATTAAAAAGGATTGCAATTAAAAGTTGTAAACAAGCACCAAGTTAGGAAAGAAAGAGGCACTGGAGTTGTCGATGAAAAGCTGCAGGAGAGACCTGCAAAGGAGGAGAGCAACAGGATGAGCAGTGAGAGTCTAAACTTAAGATTGTAATCATGGATCAGCCTTGCTGGGAAGCCGGGAAAGGCCGGGGACCTAAGGGAAGGACTTCAGCAACATGCATAGAAGTGAGAAAAAATAAGTCAGGAAAATAAAGGGGAGAAAAGTGAGGGAGAGCCATGGAAAAAGCAGTGCCTGCAGGCAGGGTGGGAGGTGTCCCGTCAGCAGCAGGAGGACATTTCTTCCCTACGTCCAGGTGGCAAGAGGGAAAAATAATTTAGTGAGGGATAGGACCACAGTGTAAGGATGTACGGCAGGGGGAAGAGGAACTTTTCTGTTTGGAGTTGAATCTTCTTCCCAATATGTCAGAATAATTTAAATTTATTCAGATATATTTCTATTAGTTCGTTTTTTTTCAAGCATGTTTCTTAAGTTGGCTGATAAAATCCTAGATAGAGTCAGTAGTTACAGCTCTTAATTCGGTATACACCATAAAAGATAAGATGTGGAGACAGTGGTGCAGATGCTCTCACAACGAAGTCTTACAAGAGGAGACATTGGAGCAAGAGGCTTATTATGGTATGGTCTGTATCCCCAACCCTGTCAGGTCTGTCTGTCTTCAGAGGGCTTTAAGCCCATTTCAGCTTCATTTTTCAAGAACGGCCGTTAAGAGGCTCCTTTTTTAATCCTTAGTGTGCCAACCAGAACAGTGTCCAACACACAAGAAAATGTCTTTTTCTGGGGCATTTATTTTGCATCTCCCACAAGCTTGAATGTGCTTTGCATCAGACATTTGTCCATACGATTTTATATTTTTTTTTCCTAATACACTGCAATAAGATATCTTTTCTAAAAAATATTCGTAACAGTCTTCATTTTTTGCAGCATAAGAAAATCAGGTCTCACAGATGAGGAAGGAAGCTGTAATTGGAAGAGTCAAGTTCAGACTTTAATTAGGCACTTTTTACTAACGATATAATTTTCGAAAATATTTTGCATTTTGTAAGTAAATATCTAAACAAAGCCTCATTGAATCAAATTTTCTCTCTATAGGAATGGTCAGATGAAGTGTTCAGTTTGGCAACGAATCTGTTGGCACAGAACATGTCAAGGGACGCGTTTCTGGAAAAAGCGTGAGTGGCCGTCGTATTTAATGCTGTGGGCGTTGCTCTTTGCGTCATTTTCCTCTTTTCTTGTTAGTCATATTGTCATCTATTGTTTCTGCTTTGATGAGTTGTCACTTTTGTAAACACAGGCTGTCCTTTCTCATGGTTTTAAAAAGCCTGTTGTCTAAACGTCATTTCAACAAAAATCTTGTTCGGGTTCTCCTTGCAATCTACTAAGTCGTAGCAAAAAAAACAGAATTAAATGCCATCTTCCCCTTGTATACAAAAGTAGGAGCTTTGGCTGTAGCTGGAGCTCTTCATTTAAAATGAAAGAATATTCTGGACTGACTTGCTTCTGTTCTGCTTTATTTTCCCTTTTTTGTTATTGATAAAATAGGGGAAATGCAAGAAGTCCGTTTTCTCAGTCTAATGTCTCTGGTTTTCCTGTGATTCAGAGGGAAGCTGTAAATCTCTTCGTACTCATTACTTTGCATAGCACACAGATTATGAGTTGCTTTCAATGAAACACAAAAGCTATTTGTGAGAACGTGTGAGGTGTCAGAACACACCTCCGAAAGGAAAGAGAACTAAACCTGAGCTTGGTAATTCTCAACTGGATGCTAAGTGCACATGCTGAGGGACTTTAGCATAAGTGATAAGCGTTGAGAACAGCGTGGCAAAGCCTGCCAGATAACAATGGTAATGAACTGGGGTATTTGCTGGCCTTTTGGGGTTCTACAAGAGAAGATACACCTTCCCCAGCCTACAAGTTGGCTTGATTATGTTTATCTTTGTGTTTCCCCCAAACTCCTTTTAATTTCTGCTCACAGGCAGAGGCTTAGTCCAGCTAAATGCTGAGGCTTAGGTTCCTAAAACTTGCCTCCATCCAAGAAGCAGGCTAACCCACCTGTTTTCTGGACTTTCTAAGGTTGTGCATGCCTAATTTCATTAGATGCACCCATGTTTAGTTAGATGGTTCCCAACTGCTTAACCTTAATCCCATGCACATCTTCATACATGCTGCTTCTGGGAAGGGGAGGGATGTACGTGTGTTTCAGTCTCACAGCGTTTGTTGTGGTGCAGCTGAAGTCAGCAGAAGTTCTCGAAGAACCTTTGAAGGTTGGACCTTGCAGGAACTACAGCTTTGTGTCTGATAATGCTATGTTGGGGCAGCAATGGTATATCAGGTGAACAAACTCCCAAACGAATGGAAACATTTAACATTTCCTTTTCACTCTGCATGTTGACAGTGGAGAAAGCGCTGTGCTAACCTGAGCAGACCTAGGTGTGAGAGCAAGAGCAGAGAGATGACTTCCTTCAGCTCCATAGGTTGTAGATGACTTACAGGAGTGATTTGATACTACTATTTCCATGCCCCTTACCACTCAAATCCCTAGAGGGCCAGCGGAATTTGCTGACAAGTTTGTAGTGGAGAGGATGGTGGCTGTGCCTAATGAACGTTTTCATATCAAATTCAAAGGAAAAACACGTTATCACACAGTATAGTAGAGCCAGTCATATTTGGAGCCATTTTTCTGTGTTTGTTCAAGCAGTGTTAATTAAAGATGAAGTCACTGGACACGTTGCGTAGATTCAGTAGCAGGCAAGCATGGCATTCCTTTTCTTTTTTCCTTTTTCCACTAATTAATAAATCACTTGGGAACTGTAAGGTTGCCAGGGTCCTTTGCACAGATGCCAAATCAGAGCCACTCCAGAAATCTTTGACTTTGAAGATTCAAAATATTTCCCCATTGTAATTACTGTACTAAGCAAAGGGTTGGTTGCAGTCCTATCAGAACCCGTTTGTTGAAATAGAAAAGCAAATTGCATTAGAGCAAAATTAGGAAGGTTTTTTTTTTCTTTGTGGCGTTCAGTCCCTTGCAGCGTTGGAAGTGCAATAATAAAGAGCTTGAGCAGCTCTCCTGTGGTTTGGTCAGATAAGAAAAATAGAGTTAATTTGGGAGGAGGGGTGTTTAATAAAAAACACTCTTTTGGTTATAAAATTCTCATTCCTCTTGTAACCAGGCAGTGTATTTTTTCTGTTGGGGTGCAAAAATGAGTGCTGGAGTATGTTAGCACTGACATACTGATCAGTGCAGTAATGGGCAAAGGGTGACTCTACTGTGGAAACCTTCAGTCACTGTTAGGTCCAAAGTTTGTCATCCTTGGAGTCCGCACAGCACTCCTGAGGTGTGTCTGTTTGGCCGCTACCGATGGGAGTATCTCCTAACAGGCTTTTTAACAGGAATAAGATGCTTGGTTTGCTTAGATGAATGGATAATAGCTTCAGGGGAAAAAATAGTCCCCCATGTAACAAAGAGTTTTGGAGGAAGAAAGACACCAGGTGCTGGTGGGGCTGACTGTTTCTCAGACACACATTTTTAGTTTGCTTTAACTGAAGTTCAGAATCCTCTCCCCACACCCCCATTTCTTTTATTTCTAGTTTTCTTGACTGTAGAGGAAAATAATAAATGTGACCAGAATGCACTCAAAAGTTCCAAAAAGTAGAAGGCAAAATAAAAGAAACCTTTTTTACTAACCGCTGTGATTTTTTCTTTTTAATCTAGCTCAGTGCTGGGAGATGGGGTGGAGGGGATAATATTTTTGTTTGTGACACAGTAGCAAAAGAGATTCCAGTTTCCAAAAGATGCATATGAGGAGACAAGGATTTGTGAAAATGTTCCTATCCTAGTTAGGGATATTAGCACGTACGTTGTTTTTGAAGCGGTTGCTAGTGGCATGTTCCTTTGGGAAGAAAAAGAAAGTTTATTAGAACCATTCTGTTTCTTTTTCTTTTGGTAGGCCGGTGGGTAAAGTGAAAATGTTTAAAAAAATAAACTAATAAAATAATCCTCTGAAATACTTCAGTGTTGCCACATTCTTCACCAGATCATATTACTGCAAAACTCATTTGTAGTTTTAATTATGTTAAAGTGGAAGAGATGAAGGACTCAAAGTGCTCTTTGTGGGCTGCTGCTGGTAGATGTTATGCCATTAACTAGTAGTCCCTGCATACTGGGAGGATCATCAGATGGCAGCTGTAGGCCCAACTGCTTCTCATTAAAGCTACTGAATGACTCCTGTTTCAGTAGGCTTTGAATCAGTGTGTTGAAATATTTGGGTAAAGGAAGATACATCCTCATCCTGCTGCCTTAATGAGCATGCAAGAAGAGAAGTCACAGGTCCTGAGATATTGAGATGCTCTAAATTCTCGGTTCAAAAGCTGGATAATTGCCTGCCTGTAGGCTGTTTCAGCATGTAATTTTTATATTGCTTTGCACCGTGGAAATGTCTTGGGCTTGCCCAGGGCTGCTGAGCATACTGACACTCTTGCTGGTGCAGAGACATGTCGGTTGCGAGCGATTTGACGTCCTTTTAGCTGAGGAGTGACAACATTTAGGGTCAAATGGAGAAACCTTCTCAAATGCGTAATGTGGAGGGCTTAGGGAAGCAAAGATGTTGGCGTGCAACATCCAGAGACAATTTCAGCCTCTGGAAGAGGACTACAGCCACCTTTCCAGTCGAGCTGTGTAGCCCGTGTGCCACGATTCAGTCTGCTGGCAGACTGGCGGGCAGCCTGGGTGAGAAGGAGATAGCAGGGATGATAAGATATAAGGAAGAAATCAAAGGATTCCTTAGATTAGATATATAGAAGAAATTTTTCACTCTGAGGGTGGTGAGGCACTGGAACAGGTTGCCCAGAGAAGTTGTAGATGCCCCATCCCTGGAAGTGTTCAAGGCCAGGTTGCATGAGGCTTTGGGCAACCTGGTGTAGTGGAGGGTGTCCCTGCCCATGGCAGGGGGGTTGGAACTAGATGATCTTTGAGGTCCCTTCCAACCCAAACCATTCTATGATTCTGTAAATTTCTGCATTAATTGTATTTGCAATGTCCTGTCACAAGACAGACAGTATTTCATGCTACAGGTGTATTACTGTTGAAGGAAAAGGTGTTTATGTATTAATGATATCCCAACATGTTTTCATATTGGGCAAAAGATGAGTGGAACTTGCTACATGATCAGAGCACTAGCATTGAGCTATAAAGTTGGTGGAGAGGTACTTGAAAATACTGTAAAAATAAAACAGGATGCTTTTCTCTCCACAGCTACACGAAACTTAAGCTGCAGGTGACTCCAGAAGGGCGCATTCCTCTGAAGAAGTAAGTTCTGTTTCCCTTCCTTACCACATAGTCTCTGCCTTTTTAGTGTGAATATGCGTTTGAGATGTCAGAGACATGTTGTGAGGATAAATATATTCAAATTGTGTATCACTGGGATAATATGAAGAGAGCAGTGATGACTTTTTCAAATTACTGTCCACTCTAATAGAGGCTCGTGTGAGGTAGAGTTAAACTCACTGTGGACACCATTAAACTCACTTGTGTTACTGAGCAGCCAGCCAAATGGAAATAAATAGCTAATGATGTGATAGACGGGGACCTGATACTCAGTCTTGAAGCCCCAAAGGCCATCAAGGTGTGCCTCTAAGCCAGTTCCCTCTGCTTTGTCTTCATTTTGCAGCATATACCGCTTGTTCTCCGCTGACAGAAAACGAGTAGAGACCGCGTTAGAAGCTTGTAATCTTCCATCATCCAGGGTAAGTGTCTGACTTTGTTCCTGGCCCTTATCAAGCGTTGCTTTTATTCAACTATATTTACTCTGTATTGAGTTGAGCACAGTTTACTCAAGGCTGATCACGCTGGGCTGGCTTTGCTTCTGGGTAGGTCCTCAGCAGCAGGTCTGTCTTTCCCATACAGAAGTTCCTGATGCCCATCTGCAAATCCGAATACCTTTGATTCAAAATTGTGTAGGGACCAGGGGCGCCTGGAAGAAGTGCCGAGTGGATTAAAGGAAAGGGCAGGGGGTTGTGTGACTTGTCCTGGGGAAATCCTGTGAGAATATTTTAAGAATCAGTGACCGTTACGCAATTTTCAAGGCATGATTTCAGAGCTGCGTTAGCTTGAGGTGTAGCTGACGGTGTAATCTGTTTCCTTCTCACAAAAATAAATAAATGCAGCTTGAGTTAAGTGACGATTTAAATTCACTGTAGCTTATCTAAAAGGTGCGTGGGGTAAATGTAGAAATGCTTTAGTGTCAAAGCTGTTAATGCTGTGGGGGTGCAGCCATTGTATGCTGCTAATCCAGGAGCTCTCCCCAACCTGGAGCATTTGCAGCATGGTGTCTTACCCTCAAGAAGGCTTTTTTCAAGAGGAATGAGCTCAAGCAAGTGATTCTAGTTAACACTGAAGTGAAGATGTCCTTAGTCTTTCCTCCCGGATGGAGATTCTCCTCCAAGAAGCTTCACAAGACAAGTGAAGCACTGCTTTTTTAAATCAGTTAATTTCTTACTTCTGTTTGCTACATATCTCTGAAAAAAAAAATCTAAACATCACTGGAGTCCTTGGAAGAAACTGCAACCTTTTTCTGCTGTTTCTTTAAGTAGTGCCGATTTTACATACACATTGCAGGATACTTGTTGCTGAGATACCATCTTGAAAATTATTTGTAGTATAAAGTAGAGCCTTTCTTTGGTTGGGACAAAAGAGAAATATGCATCATGCAACAAAAAAAAGCTGTTGATCATCTTTAAAAAAAATATTTTAGAAGTTAAGTGTTTAAGAAGCATGAAACTCAACCTCTTAGAGGTAATGGAGTAGAAGAAAAATCAGTACTTCAACTACAGTTCTTTTCCTTTGTGTTCCTGTTTATTTGGGCAAGTAAAATTCTTAGCTTCAACTTCCAGCTTTTCTACCCCATTGTACTGCCGGACAAATGGTGTTCCCGTGAAGCCTTGGAAGAGCACTGGACTCCAGCAGTGTGCGAGACATAAATATGAGGGCATCTTGCTCAGCAAAATCACACCAAATCGTTCAGAGAATTCATGAAAGTCTCTAATAGACATTAACAGCTTAGACTTTTTGTTTTTTTTGTATTCATGCCTCATGAAGATCACTCTAAAGATTTTTCTCCCCAAGTTTCCATACCTCTCATTGCTCTAGGAAGATGTGGGGTTCGTTGGCCATGAGTTTCATATGATATTTTGCTGTGCCTCTCACAACGTGTGGATGACCCTAAAACACAAAATGAAATTCACAGTTATGGGTAAGAGGGTGACAAATCAGCTTTTATCAGTCTCTTTGTAATTCATAGCTTCAGGGCTGAGACAGTCTGCAGAAGAATAGCTCCAGGGAGGCTCCCCAGAAATGTTGAAAATAAACTCTTTATTTCGTATTTAGGGACCTTAATAAGGGATTGATTCTTTGCAGTGCTGAGGCTGAGCAGTTGAGCATGACTGCAATGGGATGCCCCTTAGACACTTCAAGTCAAGCACATTTTCAATAAGTGGATCTATTTATTTATTTATGTGTTTATGGGTCAGATCTGGCATGTGTAGAGTCTTGCAGGACCAAGCCCTGTGTGATCTGATTTTCAGCAGTGCTCGTCATCCAGGAGTTCTGAAAGCAGAGGAATGTTTATATAAAAGTTTATATGAAATTTTAAAAAATGCCAATGAGTTTTTGTTTGGCCTCTAATTCCCCTATGATTTTTTTTTTTTAAATCTTGGCTGCTTTTTGTTTATTTGTTTTATTTTTAGTCAGAAGTGTCTTAAATAGAATTTGAAGAGCTTTATTTCAGTCACCTGTTTGGCTACGAAGATTGGTTTATATTCTAGTTCATGTAGAGGTTCCCAATGAAGCACCAGTGAGCTTGACTGTTAACTCAAAATAAAACAACCAGACATTGATTCCTGTCTGTGCAAATAATCTGAATTAGCTGTCGTGCTGCCGAATATATAACCAAATGGATACAGATGTTATAAAAGCAGGCAGGTTACCAGACAAATCATCAATCAACAGTGCTTGAAATCAGTAGAGAGTCTTAATCACGGAATAAAATTGAATACCAAAATTCAGCAAAGCCAGGAATGAGGAATGCTCTCATGTGGTATGGAAAGTTTGTGATTTGTTCATTGGTCTCAAAAAAGAGATGAACACATAAGGTGTGTGGGCAGTTCCACTGCAATGTGGATGGGTCAGGCCAGGATGAAGAATGGGGCAGCATATTTTAATCCTTTTGGGCAGGCAGGGTTTTGGAATCCAAATATAGTTGTCTGAGGTTGTGCCTGGGGTGGCAAATGCTTGCAGCAAGGCCTTCATCTCTCATCTAGGTCTCTGTGTTTTGTAGCCCACTGATTACGTTACTGGTAGGAAATAAATAGTTATTTAAAAATTCTGTATTTATGCCTGAAGACTTGTGTTGGTTATTCTTGTTGTAGGTATATGTTGGGAAACCGAGGTATATTTTCTTAGTTAGAGCCAAGTAGCGATTAAAAGCCTGGATCTCAGGTTATCAGATAAGACCCATGTTTTGTTCAGTGTTGAGTACCTTCAACTCCCCTGTAAAGGAAAAAAATACATTGGGTCAATAGGAGACTGTAATTTTGTGATAATTACAGAATCAACATCTAAAATGCCCTTAGGAGAAGTGCTGGCTGAGGAGCAGTAGCCTGCTGGATAGGGATTATAGGTACAGGGAGCAGAGGAGAGTGGAGTACTGGCTATAACGAGAAAACTCACAAGCTTTATGAATCCTGGCCTTTAAGAAAATACAAGTATCAGCAGTCCTGCTCTCAACCAAAGGCCCCGCTCCTCAAATTTATTGGAGTGTAGTAGGTGTGGTTTCACACATAGTTCTATGTCACCGATGGTTGTCCCTGAAAGGAGCTATTTCCATTCTCCAGCTTCAGATTACAAACTTCTCCGTCCACCTTTGCGCTGGATTTAGCCGTTGTGCCATCACGAGTTACCTGGCTCAGCGAGCTGATCCCACGGTAGAGTGCACAGGGTTGTTTTGGCCAGGGAAGTTTTGAGCCAGTTCACCCTGCAGCTGCTTTCACAGTCTGCCAAAACAAGGAAGGCACAAGAATCTAAGGGCTGGTGACCTTAGACCGTTGGAGCCTGGAGATGGATACCCAAGTGGAGCAGGGAAGCAGCCCAGCTTGGTTGGAGTGTGAGCTGGGTCCAGTTCGGTCTGCGCTTGCAGACAGAAATGCTGAGTGACGGTCACGGTACAAAACCCTCTTGGGCCTCTGCAGGTTTTGTAGATTAAAGGTGTGCTAAATCGATGCCTGTGGCATTAATTTACTTATTTATTTTAACATAAAGCAGGAAAAATACGGAAAAGTTTCCTTTTGTCTAACAAAGGCTTGAATCGATGCTTCCGGTTCCCTTGGCAACAGTGTTAAACAGGCAAAATAAATAAAAGCAACATTTTCCTCTATCAGCAGCTTGCTTCTGACACGAGTAGGTTCAACGGTGTTTAAAAGCAAACGGCTTTGTGTCCAAGGTACAATTTTCCTCCTCCAGTTCCTCAGATTCAGGTGTTATTTTAGAGCCACGGAGAGGTGTCACGTGGGCCTGTTGTGCTCCTGGAGAGTACATGTCATAGCGTTTGATAAAGTTGGCTTGCGTGGAGGAAACTCAAAATCAGATTTTCAATATGTGTTCCACGTTTTTTTGTGTTTTCCTTTTCTCTTATTCCTTTATAAAGTTTCCGCTCCACAAAATTCAAGCTTCGGCGCCATTTTCCTTTGTCTGTGCACTGACGCTAAGGCAGAAGCGAGTGGGCACCTCGTTACTGTTCTGTGCTGAAAAAAGTTTTGCACGTTCCTTGGGGTTCTCCTTTCTACCCAGTCCTGCTAAACAAGCAGTCCTTGCTGTCTTCTGCAGAAATTCTGGGGCTCGAAGGCAGCGTGTGCCAGTGGGAGGAGAGCTCTTGAGCTTTCACGCAAAGGACTGTTTTCCGTATCCAGTCCAGTAATTCCCGTCAGTTAAAATCAGTAATTCTGTTTTTTTCAGAGAAAAGCCAACAGATATAATAGGGATGATGAAGGTATCCCCTAGAAGCAGGATTAAATGTAACTTGTTCTAAGTTTTAGAAAATGTAAGAAAGAAATGCTGATCTCTCTTCTATAGGGAGCATTTTTATCAATTTCTGTAAAAGAAATCTGATTGCTGAATATGCTGCTCTGAGTGTTTAGGACAAAGATGTATGGAAAAGCTACACTGCGTGAGTCTTGCCCAGAATCACTATATCTTGAACATGTATCTTGAGGAAGGAAAAGGAGACATTGCTGCTGCTGTCAGAGAACAAGAGGGTTGATAATGACTCAGTGACCAAGTTCATTCCCCGGTTCTTTGAAAGCTTTGGAAAGATGAATGATGTGCTTGTCCTGTGTCACGCTGCCATTTTACTCGCTGGAGCACACGGGCTCAGCACCACTGGCCAGCTGCCCCACTGGGATTGAGCTTCAGAGGGCTTCTTCAGGCTTGCTGTACCTATTTATGCTATAGATAATGTGGTTAGATGGAGAGGTGTCCATCCTTCCTTCTTCACAGGCGCTCAGAGAAAGAGCCTTATGGGAACTAAGATGATGAGTGTATTCCTGTGGTTTTTTTTAAAGATGTACTCTTTAAACTGCTCTGTTATTCAGAGGAATTTATTATTCTGCAAAATCCAGGCTTCTCTAGGTTGCAAGAGGCAAATCAATAGAAGTACAGTAGCGAGTGATCTGCTTACAAAGAGCATATAAAAGTGCCGTATCGTTCTTTCACTATTTTTTTCCCATTTTGCAGAATGATTCAATCCCTCAAGACGACTTCACGCCAGACGTGTACAGGGTGTTCTTAAACAACCTCTGCCCTCGGCCTGAGATCGACCACATCTTTTCTGAGTTGTAAGAAAAGGCACTCATTTATTTATTCTGGGTTTTTTCCCCCTTCACTGATTTTCTGGGCTGGGGATGGCAAAGTAGGTTATTTAGACTACAGCACCATGCAGCGATTGCCACGAACAGGTTTCAGTGTCAAGCAGGGCTGTTATTTAACCTCGGATGAAGGGTTCATTCACTCTGAAGCTTTTGTCTCTGTTTCTAATGGCTGGAGTTTTAAAGTAATTTTTCCTAGAGGAGCAGAACTGCTGGCTCTTTTTTTTTCCTGTATGGATTAAGATAGTTTAGGCTTTCATGAAAGTAAAGGAAGAGTAATAAGCAATAACAGCATGCAATAGGCGTGAGAATATGTATAATCACCCCCAATAGCTTAATTAGGAGTTACAAAAACTGTAGTAACTTTTAGGATTTGTACATCACGAATTCACACTGTGAAATTAAATTAGCAGCCAGCTACAACTGATTTCATACATTCAGTTACAAGCTACGTAACTCGTGTTGCTTCTACCCCTTGCAGCAATTCGTTGTACTTCCCAGTTTCAGCAGAGCCTGATCAATGGAGTCAGAACATGAAGCAATATGGAAGCAAAGTAATTTCCAAACTACATCCCAACACCACCAAAGCAATTAGTGAATGTATCTTTGCAACATGGATGTGCTGTGTGCTTCCATACTTCTTTTGTGCGTATCTCATCTCAGGTTGAGGTTTCAGAGGAACACAGCCTTGCCCTAGTTTGATCCCATTGAACCTGGGGGTAGACTTTCCGTTGCTCTCTTGCAGAGTAGAAGTAGGCCAGTCCCAAGTGCTGTAGACAACCCTAAGCACGTCACCTGGCTTGGAGGCTTCCTGGATCTCCATCTGGGTACAAATTGTACTCAAACTCTGCTCTTTTTACTAACTCTCTAAATAGGCATCTTTTTACTTGCTTTGCAGAGTGCCTAGCATTTTTTAGCAGGTTTATAAAAAAACTCAAGGAAATACTGGAATAATGAAGTCAGGACTGCTGTTATTCAGCAGTAAATCCAAATAGTTGGGTCAGGAGTGCCAGCAGAGTGTTTGTGGCAAGCTCAGGATTGAATTCCACTTCGTTTTCTCTTACTTTTTAAAATTACTTAGTTCCAGGAATTCAGAGGAATGAAAAGCTTTTAGCCTTGCTCTAACTCTTCCCATTGATGTTAATAATGCTGAATGCTTTATGAAGAGTGTTTGTCGTTACATGCTGGCAAAGTAAGTTAGCCTGGAGACACAGTGGGAGAAAGTTTTTGTTGCACCATAGTTTGAATTTTGTTTTGGTTTCCCTGGGAAGTTACAAAACATTGAACAAGATTTCAAGGAAATGTGTTTTAATGGCTTTGCCGTCGCTTTAATTTTTCTCTAGTGGTGCCAAGAGCAAACCGTACCTTACTGTTGATCAGATGATGGAATTCATAAATTTGAAGCAACGTGATCCACGATTAAATGAAATCCTTTATCCACCGTTAAAACAAGAACAAGTTCAACTGCTGATTGAGAAGTATGAACCAAACAGTAATCTAGCAAAGAAAGGTCAGTGGTTTTTATATTCTCGCTGTGTTCGGTTTCTGATTTGAAACAATTACTCAATTATCCTGCAGCGCATGCTAACGCAACAGTTGATTCAGAATCAAGGTGTGTTTCCAGCTGTCTGCTTTTGGATCATGCAAGCCTGTGAGACATCGTGCGGTGCGTTTTCAAATGTGTTTGGTTGGGATCGATTTAGCAAGGATGGGGCTGGTTTCAGTATTTACTTTTCAGTGTGTGTAATAGATAGTTTAGAACAGTTGCTCTGGTATGCAAACTTCAGCAGAAATCTTACTGTCACAACTGTTTACCGGCATCTGAAATGTGAAATTTAAAGAAAAAATCAGTGACAATGAAACGAAGAAGATGGTAGTTCTATCATTTAATAATAGTAATAAGTCCAGCCCTCTGCTTTCTGATGAAGTGGTACACTAAGTAAGATGTGCGAGTAACTGAGCGTGTTTCGTGCTATAATCACAGAAAATTCCCCTTTGAAAATCTCAAGTGTTGTCAGGGCTTAACTGGGCATTTCGCCAAAACCAGTGAGAGAGCTCCTGCTCAAATCTCTGCAGATTTTTGCTACCAGCACAAGTCTTAAAATAGCATTGAGTTTGTGTCTGCATCCTGTTTTATTCCAATCCACATATCCTAATGATTACCCCAGCTTTTAATGTGTTTAAGCCTTAGAAATTTTAGGGGCATGGGAATATCCTGAAAAACAGATCTAATATGAAAATACTGTTTTGGTCCAGAGATTTCGAATCCATAGGAAACACAAAGACATCTTTCCCAAAAGTCAAGAGGTTAACTGAAGGAGGCACTCCTGCCCCTCTCCCTGGAAGCCTTCTGACCTAGATGTCTTCCTGAAGGAAACCTGTGGCTCTCGATGCCATGATCAACGTTGTGGCAAGGCAAAACACTTGTCATTTTTCTCATAGGGCTTCTTGTTTTTCTAGCCCAATCAAATTTAATGCTTCCAGAGTTTTTGATGGAGGGTTAAATCCTGCTTCTTTGTCATGCTTATGCAAACTGTATTTTGACGTCAGCGTGAATACTGGCGTGAGTAGATGAAAACATGTTGTGACCTCCCCGCTCACCCATGCAAATATTAGAATATTGCTCCATGCTTACTTTATTTCACATCAGCTACAGGAAAGCCTGGTACCTAAAAGATCATTCTTGTTACCCAAATATTGGCACTTCATATAAACCAAACAAAAGATATATTAGAAGGAACTGTGCTAGCAGAACAGCAAAGTCAAAATGAAATCACGTTCCAACTAGCAATAAGGAGGAAGCATGAAGCAAACCCGAGAAGAAAGGATGTTGTGATGGTATTTGCTGTCTCTCTGGTTAGGATTTGTGGGACATCTCCAGCTTTAATTTGCGCTGATGCACACATTTGCTGCAGGTACTTTCTCTTCTGTAGGTGCCTCTCTTTCTGAGTATGATTTATACTGCTCTTGCAGAATCAGTTCTCACAGAAAATGCTGACTTTAAGAAGGAAAAGGCAGGTCATAGAGAGTTAATTCTTTTTTTTCTTTTTTTTTCTCTTCAAACTTGTGCACTGATGTCCAGCAAACTCTGACATGTCACCTCCATGCTGCAGACACTCCCTCTTACATAGCACCCTGTCTGGTGGCAGAGCTGAGGTAACTGACCCATTCTGCTAATGGGGTCCCAGTGCAAATCCCAAGCTTACTGCCTTAAAATTACAGGAATTGGCTAATCAGGACTGACATGAGGACAAAATATTTTCCGTTCATCTGCTTCGATTTGGGAACACAATTCACGGTATATTAAATGAAGTGTAGGTGTGCTCTCAATCCCACACTCATAGAATAATTGCAAACAAATGCTGCGTGTCTGTAAAATGTCACCAAAATATAACAGCACATATTCAAAATAATGGTTTAACCTTTTGATATGGTGTTTTGTAAAAGCGATTGTCACTCAGGCTTTCTGCTGGTGGAAAAGACTGTTCATAGGCTGAATTGCAGGGATGGCAGACCAAAATTACACGTTTCAGTGACACTCTCCCTGCCACTGAAACTACACTTGGGCCACTGAGCAGAGACATTATTTTCAGTAGACCTATGAATGTTCAAGCCACAGTTAGATGTAATCCACTGTTACATACCCATGAACTTGTTGGCCTTGACTTCCTACCTCCACCTCTCAGATATTCAGCTACATTTCTTGCGGTGGCATTGCTTATGTCCCTTTATTTGCCAGGGCCAAAATCATTGGAGAGTGTAGTGATGGAAGTAGGATGTTTTTAATAGCCCCAGTGCTGTCAGTTAAAATAGTAAGAGCAGGTAGAAACTTTAGGGCACCCAGGCCAGCTAAAAACAGGCAAGAATGTAGCAGAAGCCTTCATCCGACATAGTTCTCGAAGAAATTGGGGCCCAACAGCTCCATGAAGAGAGATGGGCTTAGGGTCGTTGTCCACATGCTCCTCTATGCTCCTGCATTTCAAAGTGACCAGTTGAACGGGTCCTCAAGATCAATGAGGTACACCAAAAAACAGAAGAGCAGCATAGGGAAGAGAAGGAGTGGTGTAACAAGGCACAGGAGGCAGGGGCAGCGATCTGAATTATGTGATAAACACGATGGGAAGCAGAGTTACAGGTGGCCTAAGGATGACTTCATCACAGTTGTACCAGAGCAATGCAATTAAATAATTGGACTTTTGGAGCAGTTTTGCAGAGTTTTGGTTCAAGAAGCAAGCCAGAAGATCTGACAAAAAGGTATATGTATTTGTTCTTTGTTGGCAATGAGAAGTTACTCCTTTGAACTAAATCACAGCTACAGGCCCAGAACAGAAGAAAATACCATAGAGAAATTTAAAACTTGTGATTAACTGCTTCGTGTGAGTAATGGGTGATTCGAAGTACTTTGTGGTGGGAGAGACTTCAAAGACTTGTTTGCAAGAATTAAGTGATATCAATTGCCAGCCTTCGTGCCAGTTAAATCTCTTTCCTCAGGTTGTTGTAGAGTTGGGATATTTGCAGCTGCTCAGTGGGTGTGTGTTTGCATGCACATGCCTGCACACCGGGATGTTGTTTTGATTCCCTCAGCTGCCGTTCCAACTCGCTCCATTCATTATATCGTTCAATTATTACAACACCAGATTGCAGAGGGGTGAGGGACAAACAGTGTCCACTTTCATATTTGTTTCTGTAGCATTTCCATATTAAACAATCTCTCTGATTTTCAGGTGTCCCACTGAAATAAAGGGATTCATGTTCAGCATCCTCATGAAATGAGCCAAGCTTTTCTCTTTCATTCGAAATGTAAAGCCTGCGTAGTCCTCGTTTAAACTGCCAGAGAAAATTACTTTTACAAAAGCCTGAGACAAAGTTAGTGGCAAATGTCCTCATTTTTCAGGTATTCTATAAGGCCAGAAGGCCTACATTTCTAATCATCTTTCACAAAGTTAGACAAAATATATAATAATCTATCTTGGTTTTTTTCCTGCGTGCAGTAGCACACGTCAAGATGCAAACTTAAACTGAATATTTGCAGTTCACAAGGAGTGAAAGCATTTATGCTGTGGGAGTAACATTTCATGTTTGCAACATGCTGAATGTCCTGGCCTCGATGCAGTAGATCACTTAAGCGGACGCTTAACTTTGAGCTGTGTGGGAAGAGAGGATGGTTATATAAAAATCTCTTATGCTCCGTTTCCTTGAACATCGTATTAATTCTCTAGTGAAGTTCAATTCCCATGATTACCTATTTCCCAACGTTGTTGAAGTGAAATTTCTTAGCAAATCAAATTTTATGCATTGAAAAGTTCTTTTCAATAGAATTAGGGATTTTTCCTTGAAAACTTAAATCAAAAGTCATAAAATAGAAACTGTGTGCCTTTGTACAGCAGCTGACTCCTTGGTCCCACTACCCAGTGAAGTTCTGGACCTTCACTCACTCATCTGATGATTGTATCTTCTTCTAATTTCCCATCTAACTGTACTCCTCATCTGTGCACATCCACTGTACAACAATATTCTCTCTTAATTATTCTTCTCCCATAGCTAATTAAATGAATTTCTAAAGAATGGTTGTACCGTGTCTCAACTTTCACAGCACTAGTCAAATGCTTTTGACATCTCATAATTCTCCATTCCTCTGATTGCCATTATAGCGCTTTTTCTGTACCTGTTGCTGCTAAATTACAGTATTTTGAACACAGCAAGCAAGAATTGTACATAATATTTTAAATTTTTACAACATGGCTCTTCAGGTAAAATCAAGTGCCAATGTGCTTACTGGATAAGGGCCTGAGGTTGCAGAGTTTTGAGTAAAAAGGCTGCCCTTGTTCCTGCTCATTGCTAACATATTTGTATATATTGTATTGCTGGGATGTGATTGAGCTTTTGCAACATTAGCAGGTACGTAGGCTTGACATCTACATAGGTTAAGCACCTGGAGTAGTATTTCATTGTGGTTGAAGCAAGCTGTTGTGATTAATGCTTTGTGTCATACAGTGGAGGAGATTAATGCACTATGTATAGCACGTTTCCTTATCAGGTGGAAGCAGAAGGAAATTTCTAGTACTGCTGAGCAGTCTCTCGCTGTCAGCTAAACCATGCTGGAGGGTTCTTAGGCCCGATTAAGGAGCATCTTGTAGTTTGGTGTTTTCAGGCTGTAAAGCATTTGTGTTGAGTGGCCGGCGTAACTGCTAAAATGTATTCCCTTTCAAGTACCAGGTTGATGATGGGATGTGTATTACTAAATCAGTTGCCAAGTGGTTGATTGGGAATTTCCCTATATGCTTTTATTTCTAAGAAGGCTTCTATAAAAGTAGGTTGTTCAGGATCTTGGTACCTCATGAGTGGGAGATGAGACATTGGCGCTGAGTTTCAAGCATCTCTGCTTGCAGTGCCCGGGCTCCTGGGAATGATTGTCCTAGTTTCTAGAATTATGTGAAATTTACCATATAAATTTCATGCAAATTCTGAAAAAACATGCTGGTTCTTCCTGACTTAATGATGCAGTTCATT